ATATATTATTATAATTTACATTGCAAGATATAAAGGAGAATTTTTTTTCTCAGACAAAATTTGCAAATCAGAGTTATTACTGTAAACGTGTAACATTTGGCGGTGTATTCTTTTTAGCGTTTTTGGTGGAAAGAAACATCCGCTAATTTAAGTACAACGCTAAATGTCTTAAACAAAGAACATTAAAATGCGCTAAATCAAACCTTTGCTAACTTGTTTAAATATCAATTTCCGCCAAATATTGTACACTCTAAATATAAAACATTTACAGTATTTCATTAAAATAGTATGAGAAAGATAGAAAGTGTCAATTTTGCTATATTCTTAGTACAGCATGAAAATGCTTTCATAATTCATGGGCAATTTAAAGTTCAAAATTTTAATTTAAGTTTTGCAATTTTTTTTATCGATTTTTCCAGTCTATTTAATTTTTAGATGAGACACCAAAACTTGTTACTATGTACATATTCAATTTGTTTCGACTATTCTAACTTTGCCTGAATCACATCTTTGATAATACGACATGCCGCTGTACTGAATGTGAGATTTTTCCTTCAGAAGATGACACCCAAGAAACTTGTTGAGGCTGTTTCACTGTGACTGATGAAAAAATGCTATGAACCTTTGGAGACCAAGGAATTGGAATCGTCTCTTTTATGAGGGAAAGATGTAACCGACAAAGAAACATTATTGACCTTCATCAACAATTTTGGCTTAATTTCATGGTAGAAAGGGAAATACTGTGGGTATTAACCTGTTAACCAAGACATTGTAATATGTGATCAACTGCCATTCAGTGAAAAAGCCCTTTGTGTTGATACATTAACACTGCACATTGCACATGCTTGTTCCGAAGTGAAATATTTGTTTGTTCCTGTACCTTGTTTATATTATGCTTTAAGAAAGCCTTAATTCAAAAAGTACTTTATAAAATGACAAACTGATTTTTCATATATATTTTGTAGAGTGTGTACAGATAAAAAATGTTTCTATGAATATGTACTGCATTTCATATAAAAGAGAGAAATATTTCCCAAATTCTTCATGTACGATAAAAACTGATATTATATGACAAAACACATGATAATGTTAGAGAGGGACGTTCCTCCAATGTTATTTTTAAGTGGGCTTTGTAATGTATCAACAGATATCCATTAAAAGACAGAGGAACGTTCCTCGAATGCACGGGTTGCAAGCTTCATGAGGTATAAGTAATCAACAGAAATACAACCATTTGTGAGAGGAACGTTCCTCAAATGCCTGATTTAATATGAATAAGGTATCAACATATACAAATCTGAGAGAAGAGCGTTCTTCAAATGCCTGGTTTAATATGATTAAGGTAGACATATACAAATCTGAGAGAGGAACGTTCCTCATACATGTAAGTATCATGTGTGAACAATGTTAAATTTAAGTGAGGAACGTTCCTCAATGCCTAATGTTTGACAATTCATGAGACAACCATTTGTGAGAGGAACGTTCCTCAAATGCTTGATATTTGATAATCCATGAGATGCCTACAGTAATAATTAAATTCGAGCAAGGAACGTTCCTCAAATGCCTGATGTTTGACCATTCATGAGATGTCTTCACAAACAAGTGAATTTGAGAGAGGAACGTTCCTCAAATGTCTCATGTGTTAAGATTCTTAAAGTATTTAAAAATACACACTGTATGTGCACATGTAAGAGAGGAACGTTACTCAAATGTCTGGTAATAATAAATTCATCTTAGTTTAGAGAGAGGAACGTTCCTCAAATGTCTGGTCATAACAAATGCATATGAAGGTCAGAGAGAGGGACGTTCCTCAAATGTCTGGTCATAACAAATGCATCTGAAGTGTAGAGAAAGAGAGGAACGTTCCTCAAATGTTTGGTGATAACAAATGCATCTGAAGTGTAGAAAGAGGAACGTTCCTCATATACTTAAAAAAAATCTTCAAAAAGGGAACTTGTGGAGAAACATATATGGATTTTAAGACCAAAATGACTTCAGATTGTAAACCTTGGGTGAAAAAAAGGGAATTTTGATTTTCCCTTTTATTTTTGGATTGTGTTTAATCAAACAATTAAGGGTAAATAAATCCGAATTATCTTCAGAAGTTAGGAAGACCTCTTGTGCAGAGGACAGTAGAGCATCAGCTAAAGGAATTGGATATGTAGGAGCAGTGGTTATCAATTTATTTATGGCTATCATACTCTCTTTTGATCTGATTAATCTATTTCAGAAATATGGACGTTAAAGAAAACACATGAAACCAAAAAGTAAAAAATCGGTAGAGTTTTAATGGCATCTATATGCTACTTTTGAGTGACCTATTCAGTTATGTGTCGCATTTAATTTATTATCTGAAGATATAATTAAAGCTATTCAAGATGTCTTTGTAGTTTTGAATGTAATTGATATTGCTTTGAACAGTTATTCATCTGTAACTGCTGAAGTTATATAATAAAAAGTTGCTTCTATAAAAAATTACAATAGAATTGACATATTTTTGAGTGATATTCCAGAGACGCTTTTTGTTTTGATCGTTTAATTAAACAAAAACTTAGCTTGTATTATGTTTTTATATTCATTGTTTTATTAAAGAAAGAATGTGCATTGATTTCTTTAAATTATTAATTGTGTTCTTCCCTTTATCAAAATAATCAACTTTAAAACAACCATATTTCCCATGATTCAATAGTGGATGTCACACTCACATGTCCTTTTCTGAACCATGTACTGTAGAGGTATTTTTTTCACGGGGTCATAATTCCGCGGAATCTCAATTTCTGTTTAATCCGCGTGTAGAAAATTACGCGGATTTCCTAGACTATCAATATATGCCTTGTATTTATATTAAGAACGCTTGGACAAATTTCCGCGGTTAATCTGCGACCGCGTACATAGCGTAAATTAATATCACGCGGATAAAAGTACTTCTACAGTATTTAGAAAATAATGCCAGCGAACATTGTTTAAAATTTATAAATATTTTATACCACACTCATGAACAATAAACAGTAGAAGAAGGATATGGAGATAACAAACAGTATTCAATATCAAAGTCCATAAAACAAAACAAATTAGGAGTTGAGCAAACACGGACCACAAAAACCTCTGAGGTGGGATCAGATGCCATTGAGGAGTGAGCATCCCCTGCTGAGCGGTCACACCCGCCGTGAGCTCCATGTCAGGATCGGGAAATTCAGTGTTTAAATAATGGACTAACAATTAGTAACTGAGATATACATATATATACTCCGTATGCAGGTGATGAAGGTATATTCCTGCATAAGTAAGGAAAGTTGACGATAAAAAAGTTAAAGTCATCACGTTTATCATATTGCTTAGTTGGTAGATTACCATTAACGTCTTTCTCAAGTAAAATATCCAGGTATGAAACAGATGTGTCAGACTCTGTGGTATCTTTTATCTCAAGCTCACCAGGATATATCGTATCGACGAAGGAATGAAAATATTACCATTATTAATTGAGTAGGGTTGTCAGTATTGAAGGGGAGGACTTTTGTCTTCTTGGCATTGATACATAGCCCAACTTTCTTACACTCCCGCTCTACTCTAGATAACAGTTCCTGTGCTTGGACGATTTCATCTGATAATAAGGAAATGTCGTCAGCAAAATCAAGTTCTGTAAGAACTTGTTTTGGATGTCTTCTGGATTTTCTAGGCAGTATGGTGAAACCCAATTCATTTTCATTTCCAGAGATGGCTTTTCTCAGTGCATAGTCCAGTACTATGATAAATAAGAATGGTGCTAAGGTATCTCCCTGCAAAACTCAAGCAGTTATTTCAAACATACCAGTTTCTCCATCAGGTGTTACGATCTTGGCCATGGTATTAGTATACATCTTTTCGATTGCTCGAAGAAGAATGGGCGGAATTCCATATGCCTTGAGTATGCGAATCATCTTACCTCTGTGTACATGTATGGAGTCAAAAGCTTTCCGAAAGTCTATAAAGGTAAAGATTGTTTTCAAGTTATTGGCTTTGACACCTTCGATTATTGGACGGAGGGCAAGAATCTGTGCTACTGTTGTTCTTCCAGGGCGAAAACCATTCTGATTTTTTCTGAGACGTAGATCGATGGCACTCCTGATACGATTTAGTATGAGCCGATTGTAAATCTTGGCTATGATGCATATCAAGCTGATGCCTCTGTAGTTATCAGTCTTCGATAGGTCGCCAGACTTGGGCACAGTTACAATGTTCATGAATGACCATGTATCTGGTTTGTCATTGTTGACGAGTGCATCATTACAGAAATCTAAACAAACACGATCAAAGTCACACAGTTTGAAGACTTCCGGGGAGATTTCATCCGGACCTGCTGCCTTGCCTAGCTTCAGGGAGGACTTTACTTTTCTGTATTCAGCCAGAGTGAAGGGTTCATCATTGATGTCGATATCATCGAACACCTTTGGAATTTCCTCCTCAGGCTCGTCTACATCAGGTTGATTTTCTAAGAGATTCTTGAAGTGCGTAAACCATGTGCTGACTCTCTCTTCAGGGCTACTTCCGGCTACCTGTCCTTCCTTTGCTTTTTTTCTACCAGTGATCTCATTAACGACTTTCCATGCCTCTCCATATCTTTGCTCTCCATGTGCAGTTTCAATACCTTGTATCTGTTTTGCTAATTCTTCTTCTTGTGCCAGCTTGTATGCTTGATAAAGGTTATTTACTGCTACAGACCAGAGATCTTTGTCCACGTCGGTTTTAGATGACTCATATTGCCTCTGGGCTTCTTGTGCTTTTTGGCGAGCTTCAGAGACTCTGGCGTCTGATGACCTGAGTGATTTCTTGATTTTAACTCGTTTTGGGAGACATTCTTTCATTGCTCCTTGATTGGCTTTTACAAACTTTTCGTATCTTTCGCTGTTGCTCTCATCAGTCAGAATCTGAAATCTGTTCTTAACAGCGACTGTGTATTTTTGCTGAAGCTCAGGATTGCTGGAGAACTGTTTCCAGTCGTATTTGACTTTCTGGGCTGTTTTTTAGGTTCTCAGACTGAGCTTGATCTTTGCAGACACTATTCTATGGTCAGACTTCACTGTGCTAAAGGAGTTGTACGCTTCTGCATTATGAACGCTATTTCTCCATTTTTGACGAACAAGAATGTAGTCAAGTTGTCTCAGTGTGTTGGATGCTCTACATTTGAATGTCCAAAGTTTTCCAGGGCGCTTCTTAAACTGTGTGTTTACTGCTAGTAGACCGAATTCAACGAGAATTTCAGCAAGATAGTTTCCACTTCTATTTGTTAACTCATGAAATGGATGAGGTACATGTTCAGGGCCCAGTCTAGCATTGAAATCTCCCATGAGTGCAAGGAAGTTGTGGGCTGGTACATCCTGGAGTACGTTTCTTAGCTCTGTGTAGAATTCCTCGATGACAGATTCCTCTGCATAGTTGGTAGGTGCATAAATAACTAGGATGGTTGTAAGAGGATTTCCATCAAATTCAGCCACTAGTATTCTTCCACTCTTAGATGGGACCACTTTCAGTAGAGATTTTCTAGCTTTCCTATCTAAGAGGAGTCCAACTCCACCTTGTGCTGCTTGGGATTTGTTTCTCCATCCAGATGAATTCACTAGAGTGCTTGTGTCAAACTTGATGTACTCAATTGGGTCAGAGTGTATGATGCGATGCTCCTGCACACCGAGAATTCCTATGTGTTGCAAATGGCTGCAATGCTGTTATTCCCACCTCTTATCTTCATCAAGTAGTGTGTTGACATTGTAGACTGCAATATTAGTTGTTTCATTACAACGTAAAAATGCCTTCATACGTCCACTGTTCTCAGATGCTACCCCCGAGAGTTCCGGTTTATGGCGACATCTTCATTCCGTCGCTGTTGCGAGCGACTAGCTTCAGTATTGATGGTAGGGTTCCTGCTCACTCCCGGAGCTGGAAGTATAGGATTCGGCTTACGAGACGTGTTCATGGTTGGTTTACGAAGCGATGATAATTCACTTGGGTCGCTACTCCTCAAGTGAATACTTTGGGCCGAATTGAAATGAGATCCTTTCTTCGCATCCATTCTTTGATTCAAGCAGAATCAGAAGTTTCTTCCTATGTAGATAGGTAACGCAGAAAACACTACGCCTGTTTTAAGTGATAGGTCACTAGGTATTTGTCTTGGCACCAGATCATATCCACACGCCGGTGGGTCATGCATGCCATAGACTTTAAGGGATACCTATCCCTGAGCACATGACCTCATTACTGAGTCTGCTACTAACAGCCGCGAAGCTGCGTTCCCCGGGAGGGCGGGCGAGAACCGTTGTCGTGCACTTGTGAAGATAACCTAATATCAGAACGTACTCCGACCGGTGCTCCGAGACAGCTGTGGAGAGAGCCTGACAGAACTGAAAGTTGAAAGCTTATAGGCCACCAACACCAAGCTGCTAAAAGCAAAATGTACCAAGCAACTAGCTAAAGCCAACTACAAAGCACTACTTCTATCAGCCCCTTCGTACTATAATATATATTATTGTGTGAAACTTAAATCCTATATCTTGAATTAATATGACAATTAAGCATGACTTTTCTTTATATTTGAATAGATCAATCCAAAAATACTTAAGTTTGTTTTAATTTTTTTATTCCTGTATACACTAAACAGTGCTCACTTATCAAACGCATTTGAAGCAATGGGATAAGAAGCGCCATTGATCGTACTGAAAATTCGTTACTTAATTAATAGCGGTGCACTCATTAAATCAATGTCTTTTTCAATTATTAGTAACCGACTATTCATTTACATTCATTTGTCGATTCGATAGATGTCCCTTTGAAATTGAAATGAAAGATACCACAGAGTCTGACCTATCTGATTTATATTAGGATATTCTACTAGAAAAATACATAATGGTTATATAATTATAATGCTTTATGATAAACGTGATGACTTCAACTATTCATTCGTTTATGTTGCAACCTAACCCTTAACACCTGCAAACGTGGTTTATATTTCTTAGTTGATTTAATATGCTAGAGCATGCTCTTCCTACGAACAATTTCTTAATCGAGGTAATATAACACCTCCTAACCTCATTAGCATAAATCGGAAGAATTCGGAGATAAACGTAATAAAATATGAATAAAATCCGTAAACGCCCGAACAGCTTTCCTCGCGAGAATTCAGCGAGACCAACATGCTAGAAGTGAAATTCGAGAGAGAAATTCAACATGAAAAAAGAGGTAAAACTTTATGTTATCTCGATTTATAAGATTTGTAAATTGCAAAAAGTTGAAAAACAAACGTTTCTTTACCTGAAAAGTGAAAGTAGATTTGCAGTTTCTTATTTTGTCATGTGCTATTGCACTTTAAAGTGTCAAAACAGCACCTCTCGATTTTGTAAACATGTTTCCACGTGGAAGGGAGTAGTTTATGTCGGTCAAGATTAACCCACATACATTGATTTAGTAAACAAAAACACTCGTAAGTAGAATTTGATTTATTTTTTCGATTACCTGTAGCACAAAATGCCTAAATATTTTAGGACATGTTTGTCAAATGCTGTTAATAGCATGTTTTAAATTGAAGAGAAAATGCAGGTGTGCTATAGTTCGTTCCTACTTGTAAGGTATTCTACTATGCATGCATATGCAGAGTAACGCGTATAAAAGTCATCATTCTTACTTATCAATACCCAGTGATTTGTGAGAACCATATCTGTTTTTTTTTCAAATACCAAGAGCAGACTAAATTTAATTCTATCCGTACTCGTGTGTATGCACAAGAAATTCTTCCGAATTTCCTCTACACATAAACATGTGTACCTGGATAAAGGATTCAAGGTTTCACCGTTTGTTTACATTTGTTTGCAGTTTTAATAGTGTCAGCTGTTTATATCAATCATGCAGTTCTCACTAAAGCCTACTGATCAAAATATGGTGGTTACTTTTCTAATTTTGTAATTTAATATCATAGAATTAATGATCAGATGATGTCAATTGCAGTTCTCACATACTTGTGTAACGTGTTATATATCAGGTATGAAACTTCACATATGCAGTTGTCGCCCACGTGGCGCAGTGCATAGAGCGTCTGCTCTAGAGTTGGGAAGTAAGGAGTCAATCCTTACGTCGCAAGTTCGAATCCCACTGTGGGACGTAGAGACCGGTCCTTCGGATGAGACCATATACCGAGGTCCCGTGTAGCAGTAGGTACTGGCACAAAAAAGATCCCTCCCTGCTAAATGACCCCAAATGCCGAGTATATAGGACAAAATTTGTAGCTCTCCACCGGCAAGTGGTGGCGACTCCATATGAGTGAAAATTTTCAAGAGGGACATTATAACAACATACAATCAATCACATATGCAGTTTATGAAAATTTTTGAATATTTCTACTACCACTATTTTCCATTTTAAAGTATTGCCCATCTAAAAGTAGCTACTGAAATACAGTATGAATATTATAAAACTAGAGGTACTGTACGTGAGCAATGAGCTCTGACACTAAATGATACCCATCGCTTCTCATATGAATATAATGACTGAGTCCATGTTTTGCGATGGGAAACCCCAAATATGTGGCGGATCAAAAATTAAACTAGATGCTGTCATGAGACAGTAATACCCACACTAAGGTGTTTGCCTCTAAATACACGCTCCTACATATTGGGCGGCTTTCCAAGGAAAAAGTCAAAATAATTCTATAATTTACATGTATTCATCAAAAGGCTAGATGGAAAAGTTTTGTTAAAACATCGTTTGTTATGAATTAATTTAAAATTAGTTCCTGTACTATACATGTTAACATGTAAATTTCTACATCACATTGCATCACCCATTATCATATTTTTAGATAAAACACGATTCGGCACACCGCGGCGGATTCCCACTTCAATGATTCTGTGCGTATTTTTTCATATCAATTCAACTTCGGCGCCCCAAAACTCACTGATGCTTTTGACTTTTGAATCCAAAAAATAAATATAAGTTACACAGACATGTAAGATCTTATTTATTTTGCATGCATTAAATTTGCGAATATGTGGAGGTACGGTGGGGTTGCAACTGCGCTGATTTTTAGATCTTAGATTTTACGAGAAAATATAGGGCACACTAAATTTAACTTCTCTTGAGCCTTCATCGATCCCACAAATCTGGTTAAAACACTGACGAATTTATGCCATCAAATTTTGTAACACTATCGCCTACTTTTCCTTGATTGTCAGCTTTGTCTTTTTCTCACAGTTAGGTCCCTTTTACGCAATTAATAGTTTGAGAGAGATTCGATAAAAACATGCCAAGTTTGACACTCGCTAAAACCATTTCAAAACAAAAAGATCTCCGAAATAGAACACCAAATGATAGATTGTAGTCTATGTAAACATTCCACCAATTTGTATTTGCTTCCGTTAGCTTGCGTTCGAGTAATGAGCAAGAGTTGTCTTGAAAATTTTAATTTGATCAAATTGTGTCTTTTCTTACGTCATTTTTATGGTAAGTATGCTAAACATTCTATATTCTGACGTCATTTTCGGAGTTATTACGTGATAAAAATTATAACGTGACTTCACAATACGTATATTTTTCTGATCTTTCCAAAGATATCAAGCTGAATAATTTCCGTAAAACGGTTAATTTTTTTATTAAACAGTTGCCAGAACTTTTGAAATGCCCCTCGTATATCAGACCCTGCTCCTACGTCATCGTTTAATAAATCTGATACAAAAAGTTATTTTAAAAATTTAAATTAATATCTGACAAAACAAAGAGAACTAACTCCCAAAGCCTAAGTGCATTGCTTCTTTCTGTGTAGAAAAATTACCCCAACTAATATTCTAAAGGGGTCACTTCTAGTCGTTACAGCTTTGCTAGCTTAATAGTAGTGGAGTGCGCTCATATAGACCACGGTTTGAATTTCGCGCCAATGACATCATCAAACTTTCGACCAATCAGAAGGCATCATTTGAATATTTGGTCACGTGACCTATCAAAGGAAAGGTCTGGACGAGAAGAGGTCATCCCGGGGGGGGGGGGGGGGGTCATTAAGTGCAAAATCAAAGCTACTCAAAAAGTATCGTCTGATATATCAAATGGAAGGACTTGACGAGGAGAGGTCATCCCGGGGGTGGTCAGGGGTCATTAAGTGCAAAATCAAAAATTATCCAAAGGGTATCGTGTGACATATCAAATATAAGGTTTCAACGCGTAGAGTTCAGCCCGGGGGTGGTCAGGGGTCATCAAATGTAAAATAAAAAAGTTACCCAAAGGGTATCGTGTGACATATCAAATGGAAGGTCTCGACGAGTAAAGTTCAGCCTGGGGGTGGTCTGGGGTCATCGAGTGCAAAATCAAAAGGTTAACCAAAGGGTATCTAGTGACATATCAAATGGAAGGTCACGACGAGTAGAGTTCAGCCCGGGGGTGTTCCGGGGTCATTAAGTGCAAAATCGAAAAGTTACTTAAAATGTATCATGTGACATATTACTTGGAAGGTCTAGACGAGGAGAGGTCAGCTCGGAGGTGTTCCGGGGTCATTCAGTGCAAAATAAAAAAGTAATTATAACTTGAAGTGTTGAATGTGATATCTCAAGTCTCGACAAGTGGAGTTTAACTCGAAAGTGTTCCTGGGGTCATCAGGTGCAAATTCAAAAGATAACCTTAAGGTAGCGTGTGACCTATCTTATGGACGATTCCGGGTTTTTCCGGGCCATTTGGTGCAGTATTTATGAATTTCCTAAAAGTATAAATGCTCTGAACAATCATGAATCTCTTCATTTTCAAACAGAATGGCAACGACGCTAGTCCTTCGATCTTCGGTGGGCAAACACCTGTTCCCAAGCAACAAACCTTATGATTTCACCGTCACATTGCCAAAAATGTTGGTGTTAAAGGAACAGTGGACACTAGAATTAAGTGAATTTTATATCACAACCCCTGTCAAGACCACAAAGAAGGAGCTTTTCATCTACTGTGACGCATGCGACACGTCTGTAGTGGGTGAACAATACCGACCATTGCTGAGGCGTGTTGTTTTGGAGTCCAACAAGAATCAAATCTTCACGAGACCGTACCCAGTTCCAATGCGAATCCAAGAGTTGAAAAAGATACGCCTGGAAATAAGAGATAAAGATTATGAGCATGCCACCTTCTTGAATGGCGATATAAGCCTGACTCTGATATTTCGACCCGCAGCCATGACCAGTTCCTTTGCCTAAAAACTATAAAAAGGTGATTCAAGAATAAATTGGTCACATTTTAAGAGTGTCTGCGGAAGAGTGAACATGCATAAAATCCAGTGCGACGATTGCCAAGGCTGGTTTTCCCGAAAGGATGTCTTAAAGCGGCATCAGCGAAGTGTACACGGAATGATGGGAATGCAGCCACCACCACCATCGTCGCCACCGCAGGTGATCACACCGCCGCCGCCACCGCCGCCGGAATTCACGCCGCCGCCATTCAAGCCACCGCCGCCGCTGCAGATGATCACGCCGCCGCCGCCGCCGCCGCAACTCAAGCCACCGCCGCCTCCATCAGCAACTCTTCCTTTACAGCAACGGCACCAGGACTTTGTCTTCAGGCATCCCTTTACTGCGAATATTTCTGGCCCCACGTGTTGTGGCAAGACGTATTTCTGTAAACTGCTCTTGCAACACTGCCTGAAAATAATATGGTCTCCTCCCGAGAGAATCATATGGCTCTACAAACGTTGGCAACCACTGTATGATGTCATTCAGAGTACCATTTATCCCAAGGTCGAATTTATTCAAGGAATACCTTTGGATCTGGATCAAGATTCCTTTATACATCCCAGATTGAGGAATCTCGTTATTTTGGATGATCTGATGTCTACGGCTTCCAAAGATTCCAGAATCAACGAATTGTTTACGGAGGGTAGTCATCACAGAAATATGTCCGTCATAGCCATCAATCAAAACCTATACTACAACAAAGATCCCACGCAGAGACGAAATTGCCATTACCTGGTCCTGTTTAACAATCCTGTGGACAGACAACAAGTTATGACCTTGGCTCGACAGATGTATCCCGAAAATCCTCAACACCTGCTGAGACATTTCAAAGACGCTACTTCCAAACCTTATGGATACCTGTTGGTGGATTTGAAGCCCACTACACCCGAACACCTGCGCATGCGCACTGACGTCTTGAATTCTATCAAACAGCAAGAAGCAGAGAATTTCCATCATTCTTCGAGAGATATTCCTCCCGATCGGTCGTACCACGGGTCGGTTCCTTCAACCTATCAATCCAATGATGTCTTGAATCCTATAAAACAGCAAGGAGCAGAGAATTCCCCTCATTCTCTGACAGATATTCCTACCGATCGGACATACCACGCATCGGTTCCTTCAACGAACCAATCCCTTGGGTCGGAATTTCAACACGTCATACCTACAGAAGATATGCCTTCCTGTGACGATTGTGGTCTGGTCTTTGAGAACGTCCACGACCTTCAAAGACATGTGAAAAGATGGTGTCCCGAAAACGGACAAAGGAAAGATGATATTGCCCCCATGGAGATGGATGAGGCAAATGCCTCCCCTGTCAAACCAGAGAAAGAAAATGATGACGAACACGAAGTCTTTAACTTTCTCATGGAAAGGGCAAAAGAAGACAACGAAAAACTATGGGACCTGAAATATGATAAATACATAAAGGAAGGTCTATCACGACAAGACGCCAGAGTTCAAACGGAGGAAAAAATGAACTCAAAAGACCTGAAGAAATTCTCAGAAAAATATGGACAACTCATCCTGTACATCTTACAGTTACAAAACGGATCCATTCACACCAAGGTCATGGATGATGTTAAAGATTTCCTGTCTGAAGGCTATGACGAACGCAGAGCCATCAGAATGGCTTTGAATAAGAATCGTCCCGTCCTTGAAGAAATGTGGGATCCTGAGAGTGATATGGAGATCGACGATGCTTCCGAAAGCGAAGACCAAGAGAGAGAGGATGACGATAGCGAGGAGGAAGAAGATGAATCCTAAGAAGTCTAAATAACATTTTGAGACTATGTCCATTTATTGTTTGAAAAATGGACTATCGATTGTATATTATTGCATTTACTTGAATAAACAGTGAAAAAACAGCATTGTTATTTATGTCATTATAAGTCACGTGATTAGGTATTATATAAGGGATTGGGGTACATTGAAGCTTCATTTTAACGTTGTCCATGCCAGAAGAAACATGTCTTGGGAGGATTATCTCAAGCAAGTGTATTACGATCCATCCACAGCTGGTAGTTTTACCGGAGTGGATAAATTATTCAGATACGTTCAAAAAGAGGGAAAATATGATATCAGCAAGTACAAGGTACGCAAATGGTTACAGAGACAGGAACCCTACAGTCTTCAGCGACCCGTGAGACGACATTATCGTCGCAATCAAGTCGTGGTCGCTGGCCTTGATGATCAATGGGACGCTGATCTCATGGACATGACAAGATTCAGCACAGAAAATGAGGGTGTGCAGTTCGTACTCTTGGTCATCGATATCTTCTCCAAGTTCCTGTGGATGCGACCTTTAAAGGATAAGAAAGGGCCAACGACAGCCCGGGCCTTTGAAGACGTATTGCGTGAGGGGAGGCAACCTAAGAAGCTTCGCACGGACAAAGGACAAGAATTCCGATCAAAAGCCTTCAATGATGTATTAAAGGATCACAACATCGAACATTTTTATTCTCAAAACACCGAAGTGAAAGCCAACTATGCAGAGAGAGCCATCAAGACGATCAAAACTAAGATGTATCGTTACATGACTTTCAAACAATCCCAACGATACATTGATCGTCTTCAGGAATTCGCTCGGAGTTACAACAAGACGTACCACCGCACCATTGACACTGAACCTGCACTGGTTAGACCAAACAACGAAGAAGAAGTGCGCGTATCAACATTCCTGTCTCGAGAGGAGATCCCACGCAAACAATCAAAGCGGCCCTACAAGTACAAAGTGGGTGATAAAGTCCGCATTTCGAAAATATCATCCATTTTCGACAGGGAATACGATCAAAAGTGGTCTGGTGAAATTTTCATCGTGTTTCGACGTTTCCTGAGGAACGGCATTCCAGTGTACAAACTCAAGGACTACAATGACGAAGCCATTACTGGGACATTCTATCAACCGGAACTCCAAAAAGTGGATGTTAGAGACGAGGATACGTTTAAGATTGAAAAGATCCTCAAGACCCGTGGAAGAGGACCAAACAAGCAATATTTTGTGAAATGGCTGCATTGGCCAAAGAAGTTTAATTCTTGGATAAATGCTGATGATATGGCTGCATAATTTAATGCAATTATCATTGCTTTCCTTGAAATTATATGTATTCAGACTTATGTCGAAAATATTGCTCTTCATGTCTTGCAATAAAATATGAACAAAAACAATGTGTTGTTTTGATCAACCCCCGACTGATCTTTACTCTTTGAGACCTTCCATTTGATATTTTTTTTTTCATTTGCACTTGATGAGCTCGATAGACCCCTGGACTGAACATTACTCGTCAAGACCTTCCATTTGATAGGTCACAATAAACCCTTTGAGTTACCTTTTGATTTTGCACTCGATGACCCCAGAACACCCCCGGGCTGAACTGTACTCGTCGAAACCTTCCATTTGATATGTCACACGATGCCCTTTGGGTAACTTTTTTATTTTACACTTGATGACCCCTGACCACCCCCGGGCTGAACTCTACGCGTTGAGACCTTCTATTTGATATGTCACACGATACCCTTTGTGTAATTTTTGAATTTGCACTTAATAACCCTTGACCACCCCCGGGCTAACCCCTCCTCCTCAAGACCTTTCATTTGATATGTCGCATGATACACTTTTAGTAACCTTTTGAATTTGCACTTGATGACCCCAGACCACCCCCGGGACGACCTCTCCTCGTCGAGATCTTCCATTTGATAGGTCACAATACTAGTATACCCTTTTGGTAACCTTTTGAATTTGCACTTGATGACCTCGGCACACCCTCCGGGCTGAGCTCTTCTCGTCCAGACCTTTCCTTTGATAGGTCACGTGACCAAATATTCAAATGATGCCTTCTGATTGGTCGAAAGTTTGATGACGTCATTGGCGCGAAATTCAAACCGTGGTCTATATGAGCGCACTCCACTACTCTTAATGATAAATAACCCATTTTGTTTAGAAGTCGGCCGGCAAAATTTCTCATTGATCTAAGTTTAAATTAGTAACCTGAATTTAGTTTACAAGGTATAATGGAGATAATATTATAAGGTCCCCTTCCCTGTACATGAATTTTTAAAATATGAGATCTTGCAATACCCTTGATCATGCTTTACCTTTTAATAGCAAGTATCATATAGGATATATCAGATTCACGGCCACCATTTTGGCCAGGCTTGCTTAGCTATATTGGTTTGGGATCTTTTGTCTTTTTTTTGTAAGTGTTGTCTTTGATTACCTTTATCAGCATGTTACAAATTGAGAAAATCTGGTTGTTTGAAAAAAAAATGAATTAGGACACTTACTGACAAATAGTGAACCCACCGCAGAATACGGGTAGCTATTCATTGAAAAGCGCTTGGGGTTTTAACATATACTTGCCTCACCTGTCTATACATGTATATAGTGCATCTCAGACAAGCATTGTTACCCGGTAATCTACACCTGATATATACGGGTTACCCTTCTGCTTATCGCGCATGTCAGAGAGGCGAACTAAATTTTTAGTTCGATTGATACTTTTGTACAGTGCACATCTACAAAACTGCTTGCACACCGTCAACGTGTGTAAGTTACTGTTTCCAAGGTTTGTGGTTTCTTTAAGGCATATCAATCTGTCATAATCAATTAACGTCAATTTTTGGCAGTTATTCGGTCAGATGTATGAGGCAAAAATGGACTATGTGTGCTTGAAAGAGGAGGGTATTCGACACAGATAAGTTTACTGTAATTCTTTACTGTCAAATGTCTTATACATAGCAAGTAATTGTGTTTTTATAAAACTATGCTATCAGTTACGCAGGTCCTAATTAGTTATCTCCATTGAGGAAATATTAAATAATTGAAAGCCGGAAATGAATAAAGTTAAATATAGGTTATCTAGAATGTTCCCATGATGACGTGGGTTATATATATAAAGTTGTATTTGTCATTCATTTTTAAAAAAACAATATGCTTCTCGCACGAAAATGCTTTGCGATATATGAAACCAAAAGCAAATAAAAGATATTTTCACTGTACAATAGAAAATTGATGGTTGTTAACAAATGTTCCTCTGAAAACATATTTTTGTTAAAAAAAAAAAAAAAAAAAAAACATTTCAAAGGAGGCCAAAAATTTAATGTTCCAAATGGGGCCTAAACTTTTCTCCCTTGCAAATCATACTAATACAGTTGACAAATATTTTTGACTTAATATCCTAATTGCAGAATATCAAATTAAGTTAATGCACATTATCATAGCAGAATTTAAAAAAATAAAATTTCCCTTCTATACAAAAGAATACAAATATCAAATGGCGAATAATGACAAATTATAATGTTATATAGAAACTTTTGCCAATTTCCTCTATTACCTATATTGCTATAAAATTTATAGCATTTTGTTTCCTGTTTCATTTATATGCTTTGCATAATCTGTTCACCCTGCCACTGTATGAGCTGTTGTATGGCTGAACTGATCCATTCAGAAAACAGGGAAACTGTTGTCCATCGATAAAGAGGAAGACCTGGGAAACTGTTGTCTTTGGCCCAAGGTCTCAGGCAACAGTGAATGGAGATGAAATTTAATCATTTATTTAAATATTTCATCTTTTTTTTAATCAAAATTTTAAAAAAAATAATTTTGTAGAGGTCATTTATGTTATATGTCTTTAAAAGATGGTGGTTAAAAAATAAATAATTTTAATTGATAAATAGTAATCGAAAACTTTATAGTTTGATTATAAATTTCATAATTTTGAAAATTTGCCGAGAATATCACATTACTGCAATAACAGTATACCCTATGTGACAACATAGCGAGAATTTGTTAGATCTACTCTATAAACCTTAATTATCTATTTAAACATGCATATAATATAAGAAAACTCAAACATAACAAAAATAATCTACAAAACATATCTTACCATATTATATATATTATCATAGTATATATATATATTCATTCCAGCAATGGCTGAAAATATCCCAAAAAAATATCCCGGAGTTGACGTTCCGTCAAACAGAACAGAGTTTTTGGATTGGTTTTGGAAAAGAAACAACGGGAATGATTTAATAAGAGATCTTAACAAGTACGCAATAGAAAACAAGTTGTCTGATCGCATTCGTAGAGAACGCGTTACAGAGCGGCCAAGTATCTACGGGCTGGTGATAAATGATAAAAGGATGAAATTTTATAGTGACAAAAGCGGCAAGAAAACAGAGTGGACGTATGTTAAGATAGGATTTACACATAAAGATACAACACAAGGTACTGGCAACAGAATGGAAACAGTAGTGGACAAGATTAAGAAAACGGGTTATGAAAACGTATCCACACTATTTGTTTTATCTGTCAGTTGTGTTGATACCACTCCATTCTTCGAAACTGAAGACAGAATTCGAAAAAAAGTTGGTACCTGTGTCAAAAAAGAGATAGCAAAAGGACATAAGCTACCGGTGCCTACAGAGTGGGTGTTTGCTTCACAAGAACATTTGTCAAAGATACTGATGAAGATCAAGTCCAACGAAGGAAATCTGGATAGGATTGATATCTTCAAGGGTATTGAAAAACCACCAAAGGTCCCTGAAGATTTGATTGATAAAGTTGAGTAGCTGTTGAACTAATTATATCGAGAAAATGTAGTGTTTCAGCTATAGATTGGCTTCTGTATGTCTTTAAATAATATTTAATGTTCATAATTATGTTTCATGGCTAATGCCTCTTATATTTGTTAGGTTTACCTTACCATTAAATACCATGAAAAATATTTAGTGTTCATCTCTAGTTACTCAGTATACTCAGTTACTCTAGCTACTGTATACCTCCTAGACTTTTACCTAATACATAAAAAAATATATGCATTAAAACCGGGTTTCGGAACATCGAATTTCCATGCCCCGTGACCTGAAATTTAAAGGAAAGGGCACTAGTAGTCAGATACCGTTTTAATGAATTATAGCGATGGTATCTCTAGTTTTCGAGGTAGAGCCCTCCCGTTTTAAGGCTTACTATATAATAAGTATTGGATATATGCCGAATACAGTTCTGTATTAAAATATCAGACAGTTTGAGGCGCTTTAGGGCCGAAAACCGTCTGATATTTTTTAATACAGAATTGTATTCGGTATATATCGTACTTAAAACATTGCTTTTGATTTACCTGAGACAGTCCGATATTAGAACAAAAGACAAAGGTGTTAATGACCACTGAAGCAATTCTTTCAAGAATACAGGTATAAATAAAAAGTACTCAGTATTTATGGATTTGGCTACACTGAAGAAGGTATTTGAAAAAAATTTGATAAGGAGAGTGGGGACAAAATTTTTATTTATTAAAACATACACGGAGATTAAAGCAGTGCAGCGAATTATCATACAGACAATCTAGTGAATGATGAATTTGGAATGAAATGCCGATATGAAGAATATCCACTGAAAATTAAGCAGATGCTAAAGGTACACTTCCATTTCATTTTTTATGTTAAACGTCTACGTATACCTTTGTTTTTGATGTTCCATTACAGAAGAACAAACATAATCAATAATCTAGGAGTTTTTAGGGTAGCGTTGAAAATCTTCAAATTTCTTTCAAAATTTGTTGCCAATCTGTCAATTAGGTATTAATTATTATATACTAGGCCTAGTTACCTTGATTTTTGCATCTAGGCATCTTTCTTTTTATGAGATAAATGAAATCAAATTGTCTAAACTTTGTGTTTTATTATGGATTTATTTTTGGGGCTTTGAAAGTTTATGCGCTTCTCTGGTGACCCCCAGTGTGCCCACTCTTTTTCAAAAACCGGAAAAAGGGGTTGAAACACTTCCCCAATTGTAATAAGTTTATTAGAAGTTTACCCGTTTTTGTGTGTTTTTTTAATTTGTTTTTATTTGCATTATCTGGTCTGCCGCTTGTTCTTCCTGTTACAGTATAGTCGGTGTAATTAAAAGTTTATTTTTTTTATTTTGAAATTCTGAAAGATCAATGTTCCAAAATCATGATTCTATGTGAGAAATTTAAATTTCTGTTTGTTAAATTATCACACTTTTTATTTCTTTTTTCAGTAGCAGTCCAATTTTGAAGGATATCAGTACTGAGACAGTCTGATATTACGATTAATATCAGACTGCTCACTAATATCGGACTGCCACAGGTAAATTTTTAGACTGCAAGAACAAAGGAATGACATCACAGCAATGTTTTAAGGCTTACTATATAATAATATATGGATAAACATCGGGCTCTGGGATATTGATAAAATCGGGTTATATTTAGAAAACATCAAAGTCCCCTTACTCGCGATCTAAAAGAGCAAAAACCACTTATATCCGTTTTTGGCCCTGGGAGTTTCTTCAAAATCAAAACTTTAGTTTACCGGGTAGGCTGAAAATACAGTATTTATTACTTGGAATGTTGGTGATCACATATCTATTAAAGATGATGTAGTTATTCCTCTAGGCATGCGTCATTTTCCTCCTATCCTGTAAAACCCTTTGAAAATAGCCTAAAGTTGAAATATTTTATTCAATGTTTCATACAGAAGGAAACCTTTTATCCAAAATATGTAATTACATAATGAAAGATCTGGGCTGGGATTCATAAAGAGACTGAAGATGTGTGCTTAGATGATAGTATACACACTAAAGTATACATAAAGTCTTAGCTAATAAAAAAAAATCTTAATCTTAGCTAGTAAGTTTAAATATGAGTAAATTGGAGCACTTAAGTAAAGTCATCATAGCAACGCTTTAAAAAACATTGCTGTGATGTCATTCCTTTGTTCTCACAGTCTAAAATTTTACCTGTGGCAGTCAGATATTAGTGAGCAATCTGATATTAGTCGTAATATCAGACTCTCTCAGTACTGATATCCTTCAAAATTGGACTGCTACTGAAAAAAGAAATAAAAAGTGTGATAATTTAACATAAGCAATTTAAATTTCTCACATAGAATCATGATTTTGGAACATTGATCTTTCAGAATTTCAAAATTTTAAAAAAAAATTAAACTTTCAATAACACCGAATATACTGAAGAAGAACGTGCGCCAGACCAGAGGATGTAAATAAAAACCAACAACAACAACAAAAAAAAAAACAAAAAAACAAAAAAACAAAAAAAACAAAAAACACCAAAAAAAAAACAAAAACAAAAACAAAACAAAAAAGGTAAACTTCTAATAATTAATTAAAATTGGATAAGTGTTTCAACCCCTTTCTCTGGTTTTTAAAAAAGAGTGGGCACACTGGGGGTCACCAGAGAAGCACATTAACTTTCAAAGCCCCAAAAATAAATTCATAATAAAACACAAAGTTCAGACACTAAGTCACACTATAAAGATCAGCATTCAAACAATATGATTTCATTTTTCTCATAGAAAGAAAAATGCTTAGATGAAAAATCAAGGTAACTAGGCCTAGTTTATGATAAAACTTAATTTGACAGATTTGAAACAAATTTTGAAAGAAATTTGAAGATTTTCAACGTTTCCCTCAAAACTCTTGGATTGTTCATTATGTTTGTTTTTCTGTAATGGCCCATAAAAAAGAAATGTATAATATGTAGAAGCTTACATGTAACATAAAAAAAATTAAATGGACTAGTGTACCATTAGCATCTGCTTAATTTTCTGTAGATATTCTTCATATTGACATTTTCCATTCCATTCGAATTCATCATTCACTAGATTGTCTGTATGATAATTCGTTAAAATTGCTCTTCTTTAATCTCCGTGTATGTTTTAATGGAAAAAAAATTATCCCCACTCTCCTTATCAAATTCTCTCAAATATCTTCTTCAGTATAGCCAAATCCCTAAATACTGAGTACTTTTCATTTAAGCTTGCATTCTTGAAAGAATTGCTTCAGTGGTCATTATTAACACCTTTGTCTTTTGTTCTAATATCGGACTGTCTCAGGTAAATCAAAAGCAATGTTTTAAGTACGATATATGCCTTATACAATTCTGTAATAAAAAAATATCAGACAGTTTTCGGCCCTAACGGACCTCAAACTGACTGATATTTTTTAATACAGAACTGTATTCGGCATATATCCAATACAGAACATTGGGTTCAAAGAATGAGTGCACTTTCATGTAAGAACATTGGCAAGGTTCCTAGCTAGCTTGAGTATAGAATTATTCAAGAACTCTTGAGTAGTTGTAATGGCAATAATTATTTTTATATGTTTAACCCACCGAGCATCCCATCCTTTTTAGATCATGTTTAATCAGTGTTTTCCAGTTCTCAATAGATTCCTCATGTAAAATGATGATAAAAAGGACTAACAGCTTTTTTTCACCATACATACGATTTCTTCAAAACCACTATTTTTCATAAAGTTCATGTATTACATACATTATTGTATTGGCATCTTCTAATACTTACATTTCCAATGTCTTTATCTGATTTAAAACTATAAATGTGGTAATAGCTTATTTAATAGATAAACCCGAGGGAGATGTTTATATTTCTTATTATCAAATAAAGTAGTTTTTAATCAATGATCAAGAGTCTAAATGTTAAAATAAGGAAAAAATCTGTTTTTTTTTTGGTGGGGGGGGGGGGGGGTAATGATGATAATCAATCAGTTCGTTTGCTTGATAACTTTACGTACATGTATAAAACGTCTTCGGTGTTTATGCAAATTATCACGCGAGCAAACTAATTGGTTACATCATAAGGGCCAGAAAACTAGACCACTATTCCTTTATGTTTTAAAAAAAAAAAGTCAGTCAGGATTTGACTTAATGATAAATTATATTTCCTGAAAAGGTATGACAAGGTATGACTTTAAACGAGACTTCTGACAATCTTGCTTCATCAACTTGTTTGACAATAGCTTACCTCGCTTCCTCGTTTCCTACATATCGAATCAACTGAGAAATATAAACTCAGTATGCAGGTGACAAAGTTTTACATGTTTTGCCGCAGAAGTAAGGACAGTTGACATTTAAAATGATAAAGTCATCATTACGAAATGATGACTTTAAATGAGACAGCTGAATTCTTGTTTCATCAACTTGTTTTTCAATAATTCACCTCGTTTTGGAAAATGTAACATCCTTCAACTGCAGTTCTTTGGATGAGACCACATAAAGCGAGGTCCAAATTCGCAGTAGGTGCTGGCACGATAAAGATTCCTCCATTTTCAAAGGCCTTAACTTCCGAATATAGGACAAAAACTCTCCATCGGCAAGTGGAGTGAAATATTCTCGAGAGGGATGTTAAACAATATTCAATCAATCCATCAATCAATAAACCCTTCACCTGAGCCAATGCTGAATCAAATATTAAAAAAGAAAAAGTTCTAAGAGAGTACATTATGAACACAATAGAAAAAAATGCCTGAGATCCCTCCAACAATTGTTTTTTCTCAAAGAATGGACAGTTTTTGGCCATAACCTTTACTCAAAGTTGAAAAGTATTCAGTTTATATGTTGTTGATTTTGTGAAAATTTTGTGATTTCAAATATTCCAAAAGTTCATTGGAAATATTTGATCCACATCTGATTTACACCACTTCTCGAATACATTGTTGAATAGAACTCTTGAAGTTTCTCCTTCGCTGCTTTCAATACCTTAGTGAGAAGGAAAGAAAGAGGCTTTCTAGAATATTTAATGGAACCCACAATGTATCTTTGTTTGTAAGAATTTTTATGAAGTTTGTATATGTATATGAAGTTTAAATCAAAACACATGTGGAATTGAGATCAATGTACAAGTTGCGGTTTGGTGTATACAACGCAGTTGAAAACTGGCAAGCATA